AGAATAAGTGAATCTATTTTAATAACACCTAAATATATGCTGATCTAAAAGCTTCTCCTTGAAGAGATCAAGGGAAAGAGAGCAATATAAAATACAGATCCAGGGAAATATTGATGGCATCCATCTAAAAGGGTTAATTTAAGATAGAGGCATTTTATCTTTTACTAAAGTGTATGATTATTCCTTTACCTCCAGTTGATTAGATAATTTCTGTATCTTTACCTAAAATTGGTAAAGAGGTTTGGCCTTTCAAAGTGCTCACGGTACTCATTTAAGCTCCTGCTTTTTTGGTTTGAAGGCAGTGTGTGGATTTTTGTGACAGTAAGCCAGTAATTATTATGCAAGGGGGACCCCAGTAGAAATGCAATATTTTGTACTAATTGCTCACAGAAAGATCTGTAATACTGACTGCACGATTTGTCCCTTACATGTGCTCAGCTATAACGATCTGAATTTAGTATTGCATTTGTTAATATTAGACACAAATTTATCCTGACACTTTTATAGGCAAAGCCTCGGAAACATTTAGTCATGTAAAATATAATCATTGTCTTGAAATATTTGCTTTTGTGCTCATGCATTGTAGGCAGAATCTTACTTTATAACCCTATCTGTATTGCTGAATTAGGAAAATGGTTTGGAGAAGTTGTTTGGGCTTCTGATTATGAGAAAGGTGTTAATTTCCAGTGCGCCCTTATCAAAGAGCAGTTGTTTCCATAATGTAAATATTACATATCTCTATACACTCTTCAAATCTTCCTATCGTTGTAAATTAAATTTGTGTTTCATTTGCATCCCGTTTCCAATGTCTGTTGCCAGACACTTCAGACTTGAGGGCAAATAAAAGTAGCTTGTGGTATAAATAAAATATTTTTTGTCAGAATAAAATAGCAGTCTATTATGTAAAGGGCACCATTCCCCCATATGTTTAGCTTATCACCGCATGAGCCAGACTTGTATAGAAGCTTTGAAAAGAATCCCAGGGCTGTCATACCCATACATCGTTCTTTCCCATTCAGACAGATGTTAGTACATTACTTGGAGCATATTGTAAAACTCACCTTTCACTTATGGAAATTTGCTTCAACTTTGTTTCCCAAAAAGCAAATAGAGAGGCTATAAGACATGAGATGATAATAGACCTTTGGACACAGAGACATAAAATGAAATGTATGAGCCCTTGAAAAAGCAATTAAATACATTTTCATTTCAACAACTGAAGATGAGGAACCCAAACAGATGGGCAGGGGGTAGAATAGATGAGAGAAAAATCAGTGTTCATCACGGCTCTGGGCATTCTAGCTCAGCAATTTGCTCTGCAGTATATCACAGTAAATCAGATCTAGTTCTGCATTCCTGTCACTAGTTTATTCTTGCATGAAGTAAAAACTGAGAATGCTGTGGGTATTTCTGGAACCATCCAGTAAGGAGGCCCCAACCATATTATTATCAACAAGCTGCCTCCAAATCTTCTTGGAAATAAGTTATACATTGTATATCAATTAGAGAAGGAGGTACCAAAAGGTACCTTAAGAACACACCACCCTAGAAAGCATGACAAGATGTCTTATGATCAGTTATCTTTCAAGGTCTTGAACATGAAAACTAAAAGAGCAAATTACTTGCTTGCATTCTGAGAACATCTTGCAGAACTACAGATTCACTAAAATCAAACGGAACTTGGGTAAGCTCAGTGATAAAGGAACATTTGTATTTTCCATAAGTCTTAATAACATTCAGAATTCTTACAAACACTTGTTTTGAACTTAGGAATGGCAAGTTGGAAGTCTCAGACCCGGAACCACACTCAAAATCAGGCCTGCAGACTTGAGGAAGGGGACTGGTTATCTGTTGTCATTCGGGAATTTAAAATGACAGCTATGTACAGGATAACTTCGTGATTCTAGAGGTTGACAGATTGGATGGGGTCAGTCACCAGGGATTTGGCTGCCCTGAGGTCCTAACCTGGTAGAGACTCAGCTGGTGGCCCGCTGGGCTGGCCCTACTTTCTGCCGTCTTACCTCTCTCTCAAAGAGGCTAACCTGGGAGTGTACTCAAAAAGCAAAGGTCGAAGGGCATGAAAACAAAAACTATAAAACCCTTGAGGCTGATGCTTAGATGTCAAAAAATGTCCTCTGTCACTTTCTGTTCATCAGAGTATGTTACAGAGCCAACCCATATTTGAGAAAAAGGAAAACAACGTTATCTCTGACAGGAAACAACAACAAAGAAGTTGTAACCTTTTTTAAGCCACCCCAGCAATGAGTATTGCTTTGACCTGGTCAGCAATCTAAAAGTGTTGTGCCTTCCCTGGTAATGCTTTGTGCTTATTTTCTTCTCCCCCACGCTTCCATTCCTGTGTCTCTTTCTGGGTTAACCCTGAAGAACACTCTGGCAGACATCAACACAGGCGTCTTTCTTCAGTTCAGTCCCTGTCTCTCCTATTATAAGACTGTTTTCTTTCTCTAATTAATTGTTTTCAACTTCTTATTCCACGCCTAGCACATCTGTATGGTTCTCCATTTCCGGTCCAACGTGTCAATCTTGCATGCAGGCATTTCCTGTCTGGCCAGTGTCCTCCTGACCTTCTTGCCGTCTCATGAACTTGAGTTGATGCCATCCTCAAATACTGACCTTTGCCACTCTTAGTGCAAACTATTTTCATATCCTTCTTTCACAAAAATATTAACATACAAATATTTATTGAAGATTGACTGTGTTCAACGCTTTCCTAGGTGCTATGCTCAAGGTGTTTTAGGCATTTTTCAAGTAAAGAAGAAAACAACTTGTAAATATGTAAGCAGTGAAATTAGGGAGCCATGCATGAGCATTAATCTAGTAAAACAAAGGGGACACAGGAGGGACTGATGAGCCGTTTGGGCAGCCGTGTCATGAGGGCCTTCTCTGAGGAAGTCACACTTGAACTCTTGACCTGAACACCCAGGTGGACAAGGATTAAGAGTCTTGGGTAGAGAAGACAGAAGCAAAATGACCTCCAAATCCTTCCTCTCTTTAGCCCTGAGCATCCACACCATTTATTATTTGGGCCAGTGGTCCTGAACACTGGCTGCAAGACAGAGTCAACAATCTGGACTCTTTTTAAAACACTTACTGATGCCTGGACCTTACCACAGACCCATAACCAAGCATCCCAGAAGAGGGGAAGGGAAGGGCCCAGGTACCTGAATTTTATAAATCTCCATGGGATTCAATGTGCAGACCAAGTTGGGAATCACTGATCGCCACCAGACTTGCCCACACTTTCCCATCCATCGAGCACACACAACCTTTCTCATTTGTGACTTACGTGGGCTGTGCCCAGGACTGCACACATCTAATGATGTACCAGGCTGGGCCAGGCTGCTGCCCTGGCCGGTGCTCACAGCGTGGTGCACAGACCGGCCCTCTCAACCTCACCAGGGAGGCTGTTTAGAAAGCACATGCTGTGGCCAAGGCTGAGAGTCTAGAGAACTCAGTCACCTCCTGAGACAGAAACCCGGGGTGTGGCTCACTCCTGTGTGATTTCTGTAAGCCCAGGTGATTCTGAGGCCCAATGTAGGTAAAAAACCAGACTGTGTATCTTAGCGTTTAGACACGGTCAATTTGACACTTAATTGTGTCCCGCGTGTGTTTTTTGTAGCCTTTTCATTTATAGAAGTCTCTTGGAGCTTGCATTGCACAAGGGTATGGAGCCACAGTGCTCTTTTCCTTTCACTTAGCTTCTATGAAGTACAGATTTTCTTCAGTTCTGATTAGAAGAGTAAAAGTCACAGCTCTAGTTCCGGGCCTGTGACCCTACCTGCAAAATTTCTGCTTCACTCAGCTTGTAAAGCATCAGGAGCCTGCGAAACCCCGCAGGTAATTCTCCACGGCCGCAGGTGTCACCTGTGAGGAGCTGATTTATTAAAAGCCCAGCTGGGGCAGTTTAATCCCCAGGAAAGGACATTGTAACTCACCTCTAATTGCTGTCCTATCAAAAAAATCACCCTCTACACTACTTCTCTTTGTTTACAAGCTTCTGTTAATGGTTTTCTCTCCATTAAACCCCTCAGGGGAGTGCTATTTAGGGAACTAATTGAATTCTTGCCAGTTTGGGGCATGGTCCAGCAGTGCTCCAGATCTCAGTATTCACCATGTTCTTCTTTTTTTTCTCTTCTAATGCCGGGGTTTGGATACCTCTATCTGCAGAATACAGATAGAGGCAGTAACTGCACATGGATTTATGCATGTGGTAAAAATGGCAGTGCGTGCTCCTCTGGAGTGAAGGTATACCTCATTACTCCACAACACCTACCAAAAATTGCCAAGTGCAATACCTCTTTTCTTATCATTCCAAGGAATCAATGTTAATCTTAGAAATTGCACTGTTCATGAGATTCACTTGATAATAAAGAGACAATGCATTTTTCTCTCTGCCAGTTCTACTACCAGCTCCTCTCCAGCAGTATCTGTTGGAATAGTCCATCTTTCTGATTATTGAAAAGATCAAACACACAATATTGGTTTTAAGTAGCATCTTGGCTGCATGCAAACACAATAAAGCTTTCCTGAGCCTTAGCAGTTGTTTATCTACGATATTGGATAGGTTAACCATCAAGGTAAGGATTTGTAACTACGCTGAATTGCGGGTGATAAAAGCTAAAGAGAAAGAGCTGACTAAAAATGAAATACTTTTACTATGCTTTTCTGTGCCTCCCCTCTCCTTTACTACTTTGTCGTGGAGGTTTTTCTATCCCCTATCAATTGGTTCCTCCTCCTTGGTCCTTCTACTGAATCACCTTCTTGATCTCAGGTCCTGTGTGACATGTGTATCTCTTCTTTGGTCACTGTTGCCTTTTTCCACCTGTCGTCCATTCAATAGCGTTAATTATCTGAGATGAGCAGCACTACCTTTCACGGAATCATGCTTAGACCATAAACTGTTTCCTAGCGGAAGCCTTTGAACATCTGGCTGGGCTGGTTAGCAGAAGTAAATATTCTTTGTCGTTTTGCTTTCACAGTTTGTGGAGATGAGTGCACAGGCCTTCTTCTCGGCGACCTGGCACGCCTGCAGCAGATGGCCGTGAGCATCAACCTCACTGGCCCACTGCCTGCTCCGTATAAAATCCTGTATGGTCTGGAAAACAGCACTCAGGAGCTCGAGGTAGGTCGCTACAGCAGCAGCAAGAGCCAGGGCCTCGATGATAGAAGCTTCCCACGCTGTGTCGGCCGTAATTGGCCGATGCTCTCTCCACTGCTGCAGGTCGAGGGAAGCAGCTATCACGGATACCCAGAGACTTTCTAACCAGTGTTTTTCAAATGAGCGCTAGAATATAGAGACTGCTATTAAAGGAAAAGAGTCTTATGTACCCCACCACCACTGTTAGGCAGTTCTATTTGTGACTTTCAAATGTACAAACATAAAAATCAGGATGTACTCCTAATACTTACAGCTCCATAAAATCCAAACAAATTAATCCTTACAAAAGCCTACAAAACCAATAAAATTCAAATTAAAAACATTAATCTAAAGTAATATGATTTTGCCAAAAGTGAACTGCTTTTTGCAACAAGAATATGATGTTGGCTACTTCCACACGGATTCTGCCTTTCTTGGCAGGTCACCTGGGTAACTCAGTTCTTATCCCCTGCATGGTTGAACTGGAGAGCCCCTTGCAAGGGGCCCTGAAGTAACCCTTGGCATCACTTGACAAGGGCATGTGACTTCTCTGCTCTATTTGTCACATGATCAAGTCTGAACACATCTGGGGCCTTGGGACCAGGTGGTGGCATCTGTCTCAGATGTCTCCCCTAGGACCCACAAAAGCTTACCTTAGCTTTTAAGGTTATTGTCAAAATAAAAGCCCAAGGTTAAATTTTTGTTCTAGAAAACTAGAAAGCATTTCTACAAGTCCTCATTTGAGAAGCACTATTCTAAAGAACGGTTAAGTCTTTCAGCTGTCAATGGGGTAGGAATAAATGTTAAGGAAATTGGGGTTATTTTTAAAAAGATGAGAAGTGGGTAATTACACACTATCAGTCAATTACTATGTACTGAAACATTATAGAGAGTTCCAGGGTTGCACTTGGTACCCTGGTGGCTTCTTGACTCCTATAATATTGTCACACCCTCAGGAAGCTTAGATTCTATGTGATTAAAAAATTATTACACAATAATTAAGCAATTAGCAAAAACACATAACTACTATGTGCTTTGTAGTAGATTTGAAGTAAAATAAAGTACAAAGCTTTAAGAAGTTAGTAAGAGTCAGAGTAAGTAGCAGCTGGTCCACTGCTGAGAGCATGACTGGTGGTGCACTTGAAGGTAGGTACCATTTTAGTAGGCAGAGAAGGACAGCATTAGCAAGGGTGGAAAAAGAAATCTGACGTCTGTTCCCCTGGCACTACCAGGTAGTCATCTAGGAAACATATTCATTAATCCTGACTACAATCTTATTATTGTTATCCCTATTTTCCAGAAGAAGAAACTAATGAGTGTAGCAAGAATGACTAGTGACTTTAGCTGCAAAGCTAAGCGATTAACTAGCTCTTCCATGGATTACATGCATAACACACTCAGAAACTCCAAGAGGTAGGAAAAGGGTTGTCATAGGCTGAATGTCCATGCTCCTCAAAGTTCAAATGCTAAAGCATTTAGTGTCTTTAGGCTGCTTTAAGGAAATCCTATGGACCGGCTGCCTTATAAGAGACAAATTTATTTTTTCTCAGTTCTGGAGTCTGGGAAGTTCAAGGCAGAGACTGTCTGGCGGTTCTTCACCGGCGGTGCCTTCCTGCTGTGTCTCAAGGGGAAGCAAACAGCTAGCTCTCTGGGGTGTCTTAGAAAGGATCAAAGTCCCGCCATCCTGGGGACTTGATCACTTCTCCCACCATCACCTTAGAGGCTGGCATTTCGGCAGATGAAATTGGGAGGGACTCAGACATTCCCTGTCCACAAGGTGATGGTTGTGGGGAAGTAATCAATGTTAGATTAGGGCATGAAGGTGAGGCCCTCATGATAGCCTTAGTGACCTTAGAAGAGTGGAAAGAGACACCCCTCTTTTCCTGTCTGCCAGTTAAGGACAGGAGGAAGGCAGAGTGTCACCAGGATGCAAACCTTGATCTTAGCTTCCAGCCTCTGGAACTATGTACCATTCCAAGCACCCAGTCTGTAGTACTTTTGTTAGAGCAGGCTGAGCTCAGCCAGAAGCACTGCATTACCTGTAATTTTTAGGTAGCAGCACTGAGGCACAGAAGTTTTGTATGAGGTGCAAGGTTACACGGCCACTGAGTGCAGAGATAGCATTTGAATAATGCATCTGTCTTTGCAAACACTGGAAGACTAACTACCTTAGCTGGGAAGGCCGAGCCGGCCCCTGGAGAGGCTTCCCTGGACTCCTCACATGCTCTTGCCACTGAATCGTGCCTAAGAGGCAGGAGTATGAGGAAGGCCTGTCTGGCAGAGCCCAGCAGTCAGACCGGCTAGTGGAAGACAGGCTGGAGACCTGCGTGGCCCAGTGTGATACCAAGGAAAAGCTTGAGAGCCAGAGGACTCTGAGTTACCCCGGAGCCTCGCTGTTCACACTGGTAGTTTTCACCAGAAAAGAGACGCTGACAGTTATTTTCCACATACAAAAAGGTAATACGAGGAACATAAATAAGAAATGCAAACACTTGAGTTGGACATAAAAATTTTTAAATGATGCATAAGAGGAGGAAAAGGGAGAGATTCCAAACCATGCGCAGCTAAACCAAGGGCTTCAGGACCCCACGCCCTGTCTTGGTGTTGATCAAAATGACCGTGGTTAGCTTTCCTTTCCAGTCTCTCTCTCTTTTTTTTTGTTTTGTTTTGTTTTCCGGTACCAGGAACAATCTCTGTTGATTCTATGTTTATTTCTTCTTCCATAATCCATCCAACATGCTGATCTTCAAGATCCCATTTAGGGAATTTTCAAAACTTAAGCGAAGTACTTAACTTGCTCTTTCAGTGCCTGTTACTGTGTGCATGGGGCCCAGATTCCAGCCAGAGACCTCCAAGATCACACCAAGAATGGGACAAAGTTGGTTTTATTAACTCATTGGAGCCACACACACTAAATCCCATGGGGACCCGAGGGGTGTCTCGGGAGGAGGAAACGCGGAGAAACATATAGTGTGTGGGCTTCTGCTGGTCAGTTTGGGTTGCACGTTCCAAAAAATGGGAGTTTTGTACTCCACTGAGTACTATTAGGAAGTAGGAACAATTCTGCAATCGAATATTCTAACGGATCTTATCTAGAAAAAGGGACAAACAGAGAGAGGCTAAAGCGACGTTCAATAAAGAGTCAGTGGTTACTCCTTCTAGCAGGTAGTTTTGTGATCTATGTGAGACAGGGTAATGTCCATGCTTGGACAGATTACAGGGCGGTCTCCTAGTCATTCTGTCCATCACTGACACACCATAATCCTAACATCAGTGTCCCACGAGACGGCTTCTGTTCAATAGGAGAACATGGCTCAGCTGCGAGCACCCGCTCAGCCCCTGGCAGCGCTGAAGTCAGCTCGGCGGTGCTCGGCGGGTGCACGTGCTGGTCTCTCCTCCTTAGGAACCCTGTTTCTGCTGACCAGAAAACAGCCGTAACCTCTGCCCATTGCCCGCGGAGTGATCTTATGTAAATTTTCAACTTTGTTGTAGCCACATTTTGCTCATCCACAAAACACAGTAATAGTTACCTCACAGGGCTCTCGTAGGAATTAAGTAGAATAGAGAAGAGAAGAAGAGAAAAGAACCAAGGCTGGCACATAGTAATTTCTTAATAAATTACTGCAATTTTTTATTATTTGCTTGAGCATTTGGAATAGCACTCAGTATATAAGTGCTTACTTGATGTAGTTTCTCTTTCTCAAGGGCGAAAATTCTAAGGTTTTTGTGCAGCTATGGAAAATGTGTTCTGCTCAGCTCTGCCGCGACATCGTGTACAAAATGTTTATGGGATGAATTCTTTTTCAGCACCTGCTCTCACCGCATCGGGCCCTGGAGAGGCTCATTCAGCTGGTGGAAGACAATCTGAGCACGCTGGTGACAGAAATGAATGAGCTTCTGACCAGGGTAAGCCGGTAGAGTCATGGATCTCCTCAAAGCAGACAGAGTTTAAGAAATTAGTTTCTACCTGGGCGTGGTGGCGCATTCCCGTAATCCCAGCACTCAGAAGGCTGAGGCAGGAGGATCGCTGCAAGGCTGAGGCCAGCCTGGGCTGCACAGTGAGTTCAAGGCCACCCTGAACTATACAGTGAGACCTTGTCTAAAAAAGAAAAGAAAAAAGATAAAAGAAATTAGTTTCTGTGGGAATTAAGAAAAATGACTTCAAAGTTCTGAAATGTAACTCTTGCTCTTTCTAATTTCCATTTTGATGCGTGGAATAGATGTATTCTGATTTGCTGATTCTTCACATCTCAGAATCTGGTAGCAGCCCCCACCCCAAACCCATAAACGAAGTTGGTGTACTTGGGAAGTCCCAAGGACAAAGACTACAACATCAGAACGATAATGCGCTTTTGTAACTTTAGGCCGCAGTTGCTGTGCTAAAGTTTTTTTGTCAATTCAAAGTTTCATAAGCACTGTCCTTGATTATGGAAAAAGAAAGACAAATGAAAATACTTGTAGTCTCTCTGATCTCGGGAGGACTTTAGCATTTGTATAGGAAGAGGCTAAATCAGTATTCCTACACAAAGAGGAAACCTTCTTTATTGTGAAAATCCAAAGTATTTCAGATGCCTTTTAGAGTTAGAATGTAAAATTCATGTTGCTTTTATCAGACGTTTTTAGAAATTCGTATTTGTAAGATTCTTCTTGCTGACAAAGATGGAAGAAAACAATAGAAAGCCCGCCATCTTGTGGCCAGAAGGTGAATTAATAGGGAAACGCTCGCAGGCAGGCAACCAGTTGATTATCTAAAGTTAAGCTTTAAATGACAAAGGATGCTAGCGGAAGGTCCTTACAGAGAATCTTGTGTACTTTGTATCTTAAAGAAGAGCTGCCTCAGGCTATGACGGTGAAATGAACTAAGGATAGCTATCCAATTCTCTAAGCTCAGAGATCTAAGTGGGAACAAACAACCCCAGATTTCCACTGGCCCAGTACTTTTTCCACATAAGCTGCTGCCGGATTAGGAAAATTTCCACAGGGAAATCAAATGGCTTCTAAGAGCACACGCTGAACAATGGCCCCGATATTACAACAGCATACTAAACACCCCCTCTGAATCCCAGGCCAGCGGTATGCCATGAAGAGTCAAAATGCCAGCTCCTGCCAAGGGCATTTGGACATGCAGTTAAGCTGATGAGCGCATGAATCTCCTACCAATGTGGTATTTAATAATTTTGCACTTGTTCCTTCTACTAAATAAGTGATTTTAGAGGAGTCATGGCAGAGTAAACTCGATTCAGTTTAATCCAATTCAATTTGTACGCTTATCCTGTGCAGAGCCCAAATTAATTGTTGGCCTATGAAAAATATGAATGAGAATCTGTCTTTGAAGATCTTTCGGTCACAGGAATGTGCATGCATTTGCACGTCAGCATTTAGATAACAATAGCCAGCTGCAGGCACATACATGATAAAACATGGGACGAAAAAACAAAAGTACATGACAAATACTGGTTAAGCAGAGGCAGTGAGAAAAATAATTCCTTGCAGCCAATCATTAGTAATGATTGGGGTCTCCTATGAGGAACCCTGCAGGGGAAAGGGCGAGGTAATAGGCACAATCCCTGCCCTCCCTTAGCTTATTGAGACCAATGATCTGAGTCTAGAGACCCAAGAAATGTCTCACTAGAACTGTCAGATCTCTGCTGTGCCTTCATCTAAGTGCTTCCGTCATTCCAGTGGACAAACGCACTGTAAATTCATAAAAAATTTACCTTTGTAGAGCTTAATGTTGAAAGCAAAATTGAGCATCACCCTATGACTGTAGCCTCCCCGTTCTTCCACCACACACCACCATGGTGCATTGTTACTACCAGTGAACTTGTAATAATACATTGTCATCCAAAGTCCATAGTTTTCTGAAGGACCAACTCCTGCTATTGTATGTTCTAATAAATATATACCAACGTGTGTTCCCTCTCCTCGTATGCCTCAGATTTGTTTCACGGACCCAGCATAGTGAATCATTTCCCTGTTCCTCGGTTCTTCATCCGTCCCTCATCTCTAATCCCTGGCAGTTTCTCGTCTTTGCACTATCCCCACAATGTGATCTTTCCAGCATCTCATTCAGTTGGAACCCTGCAGTCCGCAGCTTTTAACCTTGGCTCCTTTCCCTTAGTAACACGCACTCATGGTTCTCTGTACTTGTTCGCTACTTAATAGCTCATTTCCTTTTGGTGCTGAATAATAGTTCCTTGTCTGCATCTATTGTAGCTCATCCATTCACCTACTGAGGGACATCTTTGTTTCTGAGTTTGGGCAATATGCATGAAGTAGCTGCGTAGGCATCTCTGCTCAGATATGTGTGTGGATATGTTTTTAACTCATTTGGGGAAATACAGCATGACTGTTGGATTTTTTTTTTTTTTTATAAAAGTGTGTTTAGCTTTGTAAGAAATTGTCGAAATATCTTCCAATATGGCTTTTGCATTCTTACCAGCAAAGAACGAGAGAGGACCAGCATTTCCTGGTGTTAGTGTTGTGGATTTGGGGCATTCTAATAGGCATTCATGGTATCTCACTTTTGTTTTAATTTGCAATCCTCTCCTGACATATAGTGTTGAGCATTCTTTGATCTACTGGTGCACCATCTGAGTGCCATCTCTCATGAGTAGTTTTTCCATGCTTTAATTAGGCTGTCTTCTCAGTGTTGGATTTTAAAAGTTGTTGCTATATTTGCATAAGAGGTCTTTATCCGCTTTGTCTTTTGCTAATATTTTCTCCTACTATGTGGCTTGTCTCCTCATTCTCCTCAGATTATACTACACAGAGCTGAAACTTCTCATTTTCATTAAGTCCGGCTTATGAATTATTTATTTTCTGGTTGTGCCTTTGGTGTTGTAATTCAAAATTCATCACCATCAAGATTCCTTCCTAAGTTATCTTCTAGGAGGTTTAATATTGTGTGTTTTACAATGAGGTCTATGATCTATTTGTAGTCAATGCTGGTGTGAGTTTTTGAAGAAATCTTTCATTTTATAGTAATGTTAGATTTGCAGTAAAGTTGCCAAAATAGTGCAGAGGGTCCCTATAAATACACTTTCTAGTTTCTTCTGTTTTTTCACATCTTATGATAGAATGAGGCATCTAATACATTATTATTGACTAAAGACTTCTTCATTCCAAGTTCCTTAGTGTCCACCTCCTGTGATTATACCATCTCAAGATCCTGTCCAGGGTACCATGATTCAATTAGTCATCCTATCTACAAGATTCTTAGTCATCTTGTCTCTAGAATATGACAGATTTCACTCTAAGTTTTGATGACTTGCGAGTTTTAACAAGTGTATGTGTTTTGTGGGCTGCCCACCATTTTCTCACATTTTTCACATGATTAGAATAGAGTTATGTATTTTTGTAAGCATTGAAGATATAGATTGGTGAATCATCTGTTTATATATGCAAGTGAACAAGCAAACCCCATCAAAAGGATTCTAGAGAGAGAGAGAAGTGTGGACAAGGACTAGACCCCAAAGAACACCAGATTTAAAGAATGGGCAGCTGACAGGCTTAAGAATAAAAAGAGAGAGCATTAAGAGAAAATCAGAAAGGTGAGTTTGGCAAGAATGAAGGAAGGGTTAAAATTGCCCCAGGAAGTTCAAGTAAATTTAGTAAAGACATCCATTGGATTTAGTGACCACCTTGTCCTTCGTTATCTCTTAAAAATAGTTTCAGTGGTGGGCTTTGGGTGGAAATGCAGGCCACAGAGCAAGTAGAATGAAAAGAGGCCAGCAGACTTGTCTGTAAGACCCACAGAAAGAGAAACAGAGAAAGGGGAGGGGGAGAGAGAACAGAGAGAGACAGAGAGAGAGAGAAACAGGGAGAGAGACCTGAGAAAGGAAAGAACTAAAAATAGTAGGTATAGAGGTATTGTGTTGTCATTAAAAAGCCTCTAAATATTCCATGTAGGCCATAGTGAATGTGTTAAATGTATTTCTCATATTTAAGGAAGTTAAATTCTAATCAAAGTACGTTGAAAGAGATATTTGATTGCATACTCTCTTCTTAATATTTATGCATGAACTGAAACATATGTCAAACAGTTCTTTTGAGGAATATTCTTTTTATCTAGGGATGGTAGGGAAATAGATTTTCCCATTTTTAAAAATGACTAAAAAATATAAAGGCACCTAAAGGAGTGAGGGCAGCTCCTTCACCAGCGCTGCAGGATGAAATTTGCCGTGTGTCTCAGCAAAACCAAAGAATGTGAGAAGGTGGTGCGTGGCTAACATCAGGATGAAAAGCACATCCCAAGCTCGGCAGGGTCGGTCGGAGCACTCCGCAGAGGAAGGAAGCAGTAACCACTGGGCAGCTCTAGGATCTCAGTGGCTCAGGTTGACCTGCTGATGCCTCCACTCACAATCTGCACTCTCCAAGTCCTCTCTCCACCACTCGTGCTGCAGGCCTGTGGACCCCTCGCTACTGAAATCAGAAACCTGGATGCCCGCCCCAGTTCCTCTTTCTTCCTCATTGGCCTTGCACCTATCCAACTGTTATCGTCAGGGTTCACAAGGGAATAGATTTAAGACAGGATGGATAATTTATAAGATTATTTTATAATAGTCACCAAGGAATCAAATGCAAAAGAGTTCAGGAGACGTGTCCACACACTAGAGACCCAAAGAATCCAGCTGCAGACCTGGATCCATGACAGTGTCCTGCACAAGTCCAGGTGAAGACCTAGAGCCCATGGCAGTGTCCTCCATGAGTCCAACTGCAGGCCTAGAGCCCCTGACAATGTCTCATGCAAGTCTGTTTCATGGATCTGTGCTAGGAAGGCCCAAAGGTCAGTGGGGGAAGCTAGAAAGTACACCAGCGGGATGAAAGATCTGTACCAGCAGGTTGAGGGATCTGCACTGGGGCCAGGAAGTAACACTCAAGGATCAGAGCTTCCCCCAAAAGGG